AGACTTTCAAGAAAACTCATGGAAAATCCCTAATCTCTGTTCACCAAACTTTCCTGTAGTAAGTTGTAGATTCAGGGGTAGATACATGTTCTTTACTAGATTGCCTATCTTTTGTGCACCAACTTTCCCCTTACAGTTTCCACATCTCTCAACCATTTCAAACGTCTTTAAAAAGTATAGATATCTCAATCCTTCCCATCTGCTTAAAATTTCCTTCTGAAGGGAAAGGAGAGATGAAGTGTCTCATCCTCCTTAGCTTTGGCAATCCTTGGCATAATATACTATTTCAGCAGCAAATCTCATAGGGCAGCAACGTGTCAAGGTTTTTTCTAGTTCTTCCCAATGAACTCTGACTGAATACATTAGCAGATAATACAGGTGCATCAGGAGCAGATCTGTAGAGACTGGCAGTGCTGAAGACCTAGCATCCACTTCACGTTTCAGGGTGCTTTCCAGCTTAGTTTTTCCTCAACAGAACCCAGATGACACACTCTGAAAGAACCCTGTTTCAAAAGTGCAGTAAGCGGGGGCTATTCAGAGATTTGTTCCACAAGGGCATTCCTTACAAATTAAAACGAGAATATAAACACATCCTGGGTGAGCATTTGAGTGCACCTCTTGACACATCAGGAGGAATGGACAGAGAACAGGACAGGAGTAAGAGCCTAGACTTTTTCTGTAGCAAAGAGGTACTCTCAGTGGTTGCCTTCAGCCTATAATGAGGACAGTCTATCATTTTTTTCTGTTGAGAAATTAGATGGAAAATGCTAAAATTTTGAAAGGTGTTATTGTTCCTGTGAAAAAAAGGACATGTTAGAAATGTCAGTAGAAGATACCAAGTCAAATGTTAGAGAGATTTCAGAAACGTGGTGAAACACAAGTTTTCAAGAATACAAACTGTTTGAAAAAGACAGAAATAAAGGCAGAAAACAGCATTGCGTTTTAACAATAAAATATGTTGAAAGGGAAAGTTTCTGCTAAGAAAGATGCTGTTGAACATGAGTATAAAAGGAAAAAAAGGAGAGCGGGAATGTGAACAGAAAAATGTCCATATCTGAAGTGCAAACAAACACCGAGAACTCCAGTATGCTCACAGCTGGGCCTACGCTGATAACCTGCAGTGCAGAAATCTGCAAGAAGCAACTCAAGAATTATTACCTCGTAGCCAAGGTATCTAACCATCTCTCAAATCAAGGGGGATATTGTACGAGTAGAACACGGCTATAACAAAGTGTCCTGGTTTTGGCTGGGATAGAGTTAATTTTTCTTCTAGTGGCTGGTATAGTGCTGGGATTTGGATTTAGTATGAGAATAATATTGATAACACACTGATGTTTTAGTTGTTGCTAAGTAGTGCTTACACTAGTCAAGGACATTTCAGCTTCCCATGCCTTGCCAGTAAGAAGCAGGGAGTGAGCACAGCCAGGACAGTAGACCCAGACTGGCCAAGGGGCTACTCCATACCATGTGATGTCATGCTAAGGGGGTGGAAACACTGCGCGTGAACTGGCTGGGCATCTGTCGGTGGGTGGTGAGCAATTGCATTGTGCATCATTTATTTGGTGTATTTTTTTATCATTATTATTTTCCCTTCCTTTTCTGTCCTATTAAACTGTCTTTATCTCAACCCATGAATTTTACTTTTTTTTTTTTTTTTCCCCTGATTCTCTTCCCCATCCCACTGGGGAGGGGGCGAGTGGGCAAACTACTGTGTGGTGTTTAGCTGCCTGATGGGTTAAACCACAACACAAAGACAGGCTGAAAATTTCACCTTCGCCTAGGTGCCCTTTCAGAGTGCCACATAGGAGTGGATATGCCTGATCCCCACTGATTACCAATGCCACTGCAAAGAAGTGCTGAAGACATCAAAGATCAAAAATACACAATGCCTGTGGCTGGAAGAATCTTGAGGAGAGTGAAGGAGAAAAAGGAGGTATTTGGAGTAGTATGCAGTGCTATGTGGGTCCTAGATGACAAAATATTTCTCTATAATTCTGGACTGAACTTCTGCTTAAACTATGAGGTGTCAAGAGTGACCTGGGCAGTTGCAGGCTCATTATTCAAACACAATTACCCAGAAAAGTTTATGTGGAAAAGTGAATTTGAAGGGATCGAAGTTCTGGAGATCAGCTGTGACTTAAAACGCAGTGTATCTTTCTTGGATTTGGGTCATCCTGACCACTTACTGAATTTACCACTCACTGACTTACTGAAATACTTCTTTGGTAGGATAACAGACCTTGTAGACTGGTGAAATACAGTACATCTCATATTTTACTTGTGTAAATACACTGAAAGTACATTTTCAGTAGAGTACTGCAGTATTCTGGTGGAAGCAGTAACAACTGAATAAAGAACTGGCTTCATGGACTAAGTGAGTTTTTCTGTAAGGGGCTATCAAGCTGACTGAAGTTAAAAGCGGAGTTCAGCAGTGATCCTCCTTCCGATTCTATGTCCAGTTGTTCTTATTCATGTGCTTTTGCTTCCTCTTATGTCTTTGTGCTTATATCTAACATGATCTGGAATGCAAGGCATGAAAAGAAAAAGACCAGCACTGACTTTTGAATCCTCCACTTGATCCATTTTTGCAATGGAGAACATCACTGAGGACATTTTGTTCAAATATGCTAGGGTCGTCTGCTAGCTGTCTTATGTTCACCAAGGAGCTGGAATGGGAGATGCAGTGTGATGGCTACAGCAAAATTCAAGTTGCTTATGTGAGGGGGAAATTGGCCGACTTCATTCAAATTAAAATTCAGTTACAGTTGATAGGAGTTTTGCTCAATAAAGGGCTAACTATGCTGTGCCTACATTACTGTGAGGAACCAAATCTGTTTACTCAAGCACTAAGTGCTGGAAAGAAAGAACTTGTTATTTTGTTTCCTGTTAAAAAAAAAAAAAAATCTGTTGACAGCAGAAGGAGCATCTGGCTCCTAAACTTCCAGTTTCCCAACTCCCTAAGTCCAGTTAAAACTCTTGAAAGGACAATGACGATTTGGTAATGATATTTCTCTTTTAAACTAAGTTTTCATTTGTTCACCTTACCAATAAATTGATCTCATCTCTGTCTTGTTCCAAACGTTCCCAGAACAGTAGTGAAGAAACTAAAGATTAAAAGAAAAAATGACTGTAGTAAATGTAAAAATGTTTTAAATAATCAGCAGACTTAAGATTTTTCTTTTTTTTTCTTATTACTACTGTCACTAATGGTACAGGACAAACATCCCTGTGGGACTTCAAAGTATGTAACACCATGGGGTGGCTCCTCCCTGGATAGTCAGCAAATTAAATGAGAAACACAAGGGATGGGTAAAGGTCAACATTATATCTCTTTTTAAAGGTAGAAAATTAAATCACAGGGAAATTAAGTGACTGGTCAAAGGTCAAACAGAAAGCAAGTGGCAGAGCATGGAAACTGAGAAACTGTGTCTTACGTTCAGCTCCTTAACTGCAAGACTACCCGTTCTTTAATCCGAGGAGGAAAAAACCTCAGTGCTGGAATATTAATATCAAAATTAGTTTCACTGAGAACAGTCTGAATTTCTCAGTCTCATCCCAAACTGGATATTGTTCTGCCTCCTTAAAGCAGAAATGAAATCCATTCCAACAACACTGATTTGATCAAAACAAACTCAGAACTACTCTTTTAGGATTTTTGTACTCTGAAAAATTGGTTTGCAATCCGTTTTGGAGAAACAGTCAAGTCAATGATCAATTTCATTGTAGCTTTTGAGAAATGAACAAAGATGACAACGTTCCCTTCAGAAAGAATGAAGTTAGGAGCTACATTTGAGAGATATTGTGGTATTCCAGGGGCTTCATCCACTCTTCATATATTATTGTTTAGTTTCTATGAAAAAGTGTACACATATATGTATATACACATATATACACACACACAGAAATATACTTACTTATCCACATAAATATACCTACATATGTGTGCGTGTCTATAGATATGGACACGTATATACGCATATACACATATACATTTTTACATAAGCAGAGAGAAATTACGGGAGATTTAAGGGACACAAGGCAGTCCAG